TCATGGGTGCAGAAAAAGCTTTGGGTGGGTGAGTGGGACTAACTGTTCCCAACTGAGCCCTCCATGTGTCAAATCATGTCTATGGGTGTTGCTATACCACTCAGGTCACTGCCTGGTGCATTTTACCCAGTGAGGCATTGAAAAAGGGAATCAGAGACAAGCTCCTATCAATGCTGACTGTGTCTCTGGCTTTGGGTGGCGCATGCCATGCAAAACCACTTTGCTGGTGCTGAGAAAAGCAGCTGTTTCTCCTAGCACCAGCTGAGTCCCTCCTACCATCTGAATCCTTGCTGTTATCTTTGATCCTGGAGGAATCTTGGAGGAACTTTCAAGTGGTGGGGCTTGGAGGACAACCACCACATCCTGCAGAATCCAAGGAATCTTCTCTTGAAGATTCCACAACCTTATTCTACTTGGATGGGCAAAATTGATCCAAAGTTAACTAACCCAAACAAATGGTACAAAAGTGATCTGTAATAAGATTGTGCTGAAATAACTGTCTCCAAGATGAACCACATATAAGCAGTTCTGGCTGTAAAGTATATGATAACCTTTCATAGCAGGCACAGCATGACGCAGTTTAAAAGAAATAATGGTTCAGATTAATCTGGCCAGGGCGGCTTATTTTATACTGTATTGTTGTATTTTTAATTTAATATTTATATTTTTAATTTATATTATAATTATTTTAACTTAGTGATGTGAGCCGCCCCGAGGCTTCGGCGAATGGGGCGGCATAAAAATGTTTTAATAAATAAATAAATAAATAAATAAATAAAAAACCTAGGGTTTCACTAAATGGAATAACTCAGAAGGCAATATGTAAATCCAAAAACAGCATAGAAAAAAAGAGTTCTTCAGTTCTGTCACCACTGCCATTTGCGTAAATTATATACTACAACTGATCTGCTTCAGCATGAGTTGGTCATCACTTATACTTTAGCTTGTCTTCAATTCTGGCATGTTCACCTTGCGTCCCATCTGACACTCCTATGTTAATTACCAAGGTAAACCTTCTATTCTGTTGTCAAGACAGCACATCAAGAAAACAGCTGTCTAGATCAGATTCAACATTCTTGGGAAGGTACCAAAATAATTTGGCTCAAAATTATTCTACAAATCAAACAAATTTATTACAAAAATTGTGAATCCGCAAAATCAGTTCATGTGATCATCATCACATATGACCTTTCCTGAATACTTGTTGATACCATCTTCATGCTTGACACCCAGCATATTTTAGCAGTTTCAGAACAGGTAGTCTATTCAGCGATATTTCCAATCATATGGAAAATATAAGTGTGTGGAGCTATTCTTAGCCACAGTGTTCAGCAATCATTTAAATTGCCTTTAGGTATAGCATGCTAGTGCATTTACATTTTCCATTCTTCAAACAACCATGAGCCAGGAGGTGAAGAGAATATTAAGAAGAGACAAAATAGCTGGGATGCAAAGAGTAAACAAAAAGGTAGAATAGATCAAAAAGCAGATAGAAAAGCAGGTGGCTGATATAAGTTAGGAAAAATTTTGGCTGTCAGAAGTCAGTTCAGTGGGTCAAACCACCTAAACTCCTCAATTAACTGTCAGGACAAGATAACCAGTTTTCTGCTCACAAAAGCTTTAAGAAATCAGCTCTTTTAGCCTATAAATGAAAAACTGAAACCCTACAGATGATTTTCTTAAACCAGTCTTTTCGAACAACAGACAATAGTGTCAGCTCTAATGTCATTAGGGTAGTATATCCAAATGTCATTAACTATTTGCTACTGCAAAGAGAAAAAGTAGCTACTTACTGAACTTTGGCAACACAGCATCCCTTTTTCTTTTTGCACTATTTGGACACTGTGCCATTTAAGTAGTTCAAATACTTAGTTTGCATATTTTAAAATTAGACTATATTTATATATATATGAATAGGAAATACTTTTTTAATGCTTCAAGCTGCTGTTCTATTAACTCACCTATGACAGTTCTTTGAGTGGCTTTCTATGCCTCTGAGATTGGCCTTGCCCAGACCACAGACAGAACATTCCAGACAGAGAAACACAGGAAGATAGGAAGCTGCCTTATATTGAGTCAGACCGCTGATCCATCTAGCCCAGGACTGTCAACATAAATTGGCAAGGTTTGTTGACACTGATTGCAAATGTTCTTCAGGATTTCAGGCAGGTATTTGTTCTCCCTAGAGATGTCAGGAACTTTCTGCATGCAAAGCATGTATCTACCACTGAGCCAATACACTCCTCCAGGGTTGAGAAACTTGTTGCCGTCCAGAAATTTTGGCCTACAACTTCCATGAGCTCTAATCAGCATAGCTAGTGGTGAGGGAACATGGGAGTGGACAGGATTTATGAATGCACAGAGAACAATTTGAAGAACAGTTATAGGGAAACAATACAATGTTTTTCCTCATAGTCGCTACAAAATCCAGTGGTTAGAAGTTTAAAGCTCTCATGTTCAAGCACCTGGCAGACTGTCAGGTGCACAAACTCCATCAAAAGCTTAATTCCTCTGTCTTGAATGCTCGAAGGATGATATATAATAAACATGGATGGAATTGCCCACGTTGCAGTTCTGCAGAAAGTTGAAGTGACAAGCCCTTGTAACTATGCTCTGGACTTTGTCAAGTTTGTTCATAGAGGAGTGGGTAAAATTTCCATTGCAAATCATAGCAACTTTCAATCATTCTCAGTTTTTCTCAGCAGTCACTTGAATATACTCACTGCTGATACTGAATCTTCTGTTAATACTGGTTCACTGAATCCTCTGTTGGTTACAAAGAGATGGTTCATCATGTATGTTGATGATGTACACGCTACACAGAGAACTAGGAATCATTAACGAGAGTGCACTGCCGTACTTACATTAGCCTTCAGGTGGAGAAAGATGACTTCCAAGCTTAGGTAATGTGATACACTGAATTTGAAACTTTTGAGCTAATATTGGAAATAATTGTAAATAAAAAATAACACACAAAATAAAGAATGTGATGGGTCTACTTCTGCAGCTTCTACATCCTGTACAGTCCTGTAACTAGCCAGTGTGACTGTTACAAAAAAGATTGTTGTTGTTAGTCGCGAAGTCATGTCCGACCCATCGTGACCCCATGGACAACACTCCTCCAGGCTACAAAAAAGAAAACCTGGCACAAAAGTCAAAATAGATGGCAAGGCAGAAAGCAGTTTGAATGGTGTTCCAATGATGGATGCTAGTACAAGGTTGTTCCATAAGAAAATAGCATCTGCATGTATGCTATGGTGAAGTATGCTGAGATAAAGTCCAAAAATTCAACGTTCAAAGTTCTTCTTCAATGATGGGAAGTATATCACTAGATGCCCCAAATGAACTGTATACATGAGTAGCCAGATGGAAATAATCTATGCCTCTGCAAGTAGCTGAATTGAGATGATCAAATATGATGTTATCCTTAATATTTTTCATCATCTTACATGGAACTGAGCAGACTGTCCTTAAAAGGGAGATCTTTGGTGTTCTTTCTGTCTTCATCTGTAGAATTGAAGTTTTAAGCCAGGTTGTAGAGAACTAATGTGCAAGATGAGATGTTTCTATGTGGAAAGTTTTAATCATTTTTTTAAATCAAAAAGCTTTTTATCATTTTCTAAAAGATTTCTGGTAAAGGACCACTGTTTTCTCAAAATAAAAACTAGTTGCAGACCGTCAGTACCAGTGTAGGTTTATAGTAATGGACACAGAAGAATTGGCTTTACATCAGATTAAGCCAACTACTTACCATATTTGTGCTGAGGGGTTGAATGCAGATGTCTGAAGTGTTTGAGTAGTATCTATTAACAAGGCAGGTGGAACAACAAACTTATATTACCAGCCAAAGATTCAGACATGTTCTCCACTCACTAAGAACGGTCAGGAACACCAAGGAAAGTATGAGACAGAATTCTGCTGGGAACTGAATTATGTATACAGAATTATGGAAGAGAATCTCCATGGTTCCTAATGGCTGGACTACACTATGCTACTCAACTGAACATACACGGAGAGCATTTGAAAGCAGAGGAACATGTTACTCCTGGAACACCGGAAGCTCTATATGTGATTGTGATAGGAAGCACTGTGTGCCCAAGAATGGCAAGAAGTTTCTGAGTATCAAAGAGTTACTTCCATAGAGCTGCTTCCATAACTACTTCTGCCATATAAGGCCTTTGAGGTTCTGGAATAGGTAAGATGGAACTTTCTCACCAAATTCTGCAAGAATTTCTGAGCCTCGTGGATTGTTCTCTCCATCTACTTAATCTCTGAGTTCTCGTTCAGAACAATGCAGTAAGGAAAATGCTGGCATTTTAGCCACCTATTGCAGATGAGTCATTCTGGATCATGAGAAGCATTTTCAGCAATAAGATATGTCAGTTCCAAGAAGGCATGGTTGTACTTTCCCAGCTCTTTTTAGTTAGTTTTGAGGAAGATGCAGTTTTGAGGCATTCAAGTAATTCTAAGTTCAAATGTGAGACAGGCTCTGTAAGCTACTAAAAACACTCGATTTGAAATACTTCATATTTCCTTTTACTTGGTATGTCTCACTTGCTGATACCTTCAGATTTTGTGCAAACAGAATAACTTAGAGCCTGAAACAGTTCTAACCTAGCACCTTCCAGATATGTTGATGTGCAATTCCCTCCATTCTCAGCCAGCTGGGGATGAAGGGGGTTGTAATCCAGCACATCTGAATAGCTCTAGTTTGGAGGAGACTGGACTAGAATATTCTAAATGGTTCTACCTGTGGCCTGTATAGGCAGATTTCCATATAATGAGTGCTGCAGACAAACTACAATAAAAATTCTAAGAACAACTAAAATTGGTATTTTAAAAATAAATAACTAATGTGTTTTGTGGAATCATTCTACATTCAATTATAGAATAAATTGAGCATTCTTTCTGTAACTCACATTTGAACATGTATTAGTTATCCTTTTTGAGTGCTGTATACAACTGCATAAAAAGGTGAATTAAGAATCATTTGAACTCACCCCTTTTTCAATACTTCCAGTTTGGCAAAGTGTACCCTCAGCTGCTGGAATACTGTTGGTAACACAGCGGTTACTTTTGCTGAGACACCAAAGCTCTCTACACACTTCCTGGGAAAGAAGGCAAAAGCAAGTTGTTCAGAATAACTGAATAAAATGTAGTCAATTGCTACCTTTAAAAAGACATTTTCCCTGTCCATCAAATATATTCCTTTCTCTCCCTGCTCCTTGTCACACACAAACAAACTTAAATAGGTTTTTGAACAATTATTAAGATGAACTAATTAATATCAGCTTCTTTTAAAACCAAGTTATCTCTTTGTTTTGACTTGCCATATAGCAACACTGTCTGACAGTACACCACTTTTGGGCCTTGTGCAGAAAGCCTATTCTGAATAAGTATAACAGTGATCTCAGTTTATGCTAAACTGTGCAGATGCCTGAATTACCATACAGAAGTTCCAAAAGAGATGTATGAATTGGCCCTGAAACTGTAACCCATGAGATGCCCTTTCTTTCAGGGAAACAATTTGTCCTTCAGAAGAGCAGAAAACTCATAGTTCTATAAAATGAAAGTGACAACAAGATCATCTAGCACTTGACCAGGCAATGAAGGTTTTACCTTAAATGTAGGCACCACCATTTTTCTTGGCCAGGCAGAACTATTCCTACCACTAGAGGCAGGGTGGTATCCAATTAATCAGTCCTGCCTACAGTATCTGTCAGTAGAATGTGAAGGGAGCTATTCCCCCTCCAGCCCCCTCTCCTCCAGAAGGATGAGGGAACCGCTGAGACAGGTTGGAGGGAGACGGGTTGCAGTGGGAAGAAGAGGGGAACATCCCATTGAATGAGTGGTGCCATTAGCTTTCACCCATCCATTTAATTAATTCTACCTCCTTTGACTGGGAGTCACTTTTAGATTCAGCAGAGGAAAAGTACTTTCCACTCTCCCTTGATACATGCTCCTTCAAGTTATCATATACAAATAATCCCTAATCACAATAGGATAGAAACAATGGTGCTGAGTCAACCGCAGCTTGAGCCCCACAACACTGTGCAAAGAAAGTGATGGATTTCTATTTTTGTAGCACAGTGCTGCAGAGGGGAAAACATTCTGCAGGGTTTGCACCCTCTCAGAATCAGTCTTACTGACCTTATGCTGCAGATTTCCCCAGGAAGCTCAGAAGTACTGCAGAATCTTTCCGCACTAACAATTTTTAAAAATACACACACACACAGAACTGCCACTGAAGATATTCACTTCCCACTGTGGCTCCAGCAGTAACCTATGAAAAGACTACTGTGAAGACCTATTAGCATAATCAGCCATCCAGGAATAACAGCTCCACAATTCAACTCAACCTCTGATTTGTTTGCATAATCAAAGAGTTGAAAGGGAGTCAACAAGTATAACATTCTCAGGGACTCCTTACTAAAGCTGCCACTTCTTCCCCTAGTAGGCCTCTTGTGCGTTGAACACAAGAACATCTATATGATAAGCAAAAATTCAACATATGTAAACAGAATGTTAGGGAAAGTTTCTCCTGAGTTTCTGCAGTCATGCAACTAGTTAAAGTTACAATAAATTTGCCAGAAAAAAAGAAATAATTTTATCTTGTCTCATTTCTTTCATCCTAGGATAAGTGATAATTTAAACTAGAATTTGGTTTAACTCTTTGATTGGAGTTCACAGTTGCATATGCAAACAGTGAACTGTCAATTATTAAAGGCGGTCAGAAAAGTTATGTAGCAAAAACATCATAGAGTCTTTCTTCATATCATCAAGTCTTGAGTTGTTGATGTGTAATATGAAACTATGATTATGAAAATAAGTCCTATATTGTTTTTATCCAAATGGTTACAAGTACATAAACCAGATTAATATTACTACAGTTTCAGGAACGTAATAAGCATTGTGTATACCAAAAAAAGAATATCATGCTTACTGCTGCATTATGTTTACTTTTTTACCCAATTGAAGAATATAGAAGAAATTAATTTTTTATTTTTCTGAAAAAAAAATCAATTTCAGAGCAGATTTCTTCTCTCTGTGCCTGTCACACTTATTTGTATTGGAGCTGCATCCTACAGAAATGAGATTATTCCCAGGTGGTTCCTAAACAACATGGAGCCTGACATGGAGCTCTACCAGATACTTTTAGAATATTCAGCAGCATATTCATTCATGGCTGAATTACCTTGTAATTGAGATTTTAATGAATTACTGTTGGTGTTATTTATTATTAACCAACTTTTAGTGTTTGATTATATCAGAAATAAAAACATGACAATCTTGTCAATATTTCCATTTAAATCTTATGTACACTACTCTGAAAATGAGAGCCCTTGTCACTTCCATTTCTCCATGGAGGTGGCTGACCAGTGATGTACAGTGGGAGGCAGCTGGCATAAAAGGGGCTTGATCAGACTTGACTTCCCCAATTCCTTTCAGTGGCACAGTATATTTCTACTTCTTCCTCATCACGGTAGCTTAACTATCAACAAAAATGGTATGTCTAAAGCATACCTGCCATTTTCTTCTCAATCTGCTGCTATTATTACTGGGATGAGTGTACACTATTTGTGTTGCATTGCATGCCTGTCTCAATTAGTCCATTTCTTTTGGTTCTCTTTCACTATCTGGAATTCCTCCAGAAACAACTGCAAAATGAGATAGTGCTTATTGTCCACATGTATATTGCATGGCCTTATTAAATGCAGTACTCTTGGGTCGTTTGATTTTTTTTCCTCTTTGGTAGCTCCTCCACATTCCTTCCTTTCTCCCTGCCCACCCCCACCCCTTTCTCCTCTCATACAATCTAATTTTGAGTTTAGCTAAATTCAGAGCAGAAAGAAGCTTCTGTAGCATGTTATCATTTATCCAAATGCAGAAGCTCTTTACTGGTTTCACAGCATCGTAGGAATGCAGGGATACATTCAGAACAGCAATGAGACTAGGAATCATTTTTACCTTGTAGCCTCTCCCTCTGTATCCTATTGTCAGAGCACCATATGGGTAAAACAAATAAGTTCAGTGGCAGGAAGTAATGAAACATTAATGTTACTCTCTCTGTCTGTCAGCATGAAATATTAGTTCAGGAAGCAGGAACAGTCTCTACCATTGAAATTGCCAGTGACAATCTGTGTTCTGCACTGAAAATTAGCTAGTCCGGAGGTTCTCAAAATGTGTTCTGAGGACCACTGGTGATCCAGTAAGTTACATTCAGATGATCTGTGGCAAGGTGGAACAGATGAGAATATCTGTAATAGGCCCGCATTTGATTATTTTCTGATGAAAGAGATCTAGGCTGTTTTGACCGGGACCAGATGACTGAACAGTTTAATAAGCCCTGGCTTTGGCTCTGCAATTTTCAGAATATACTACTGGTGCAGCTTCTTAGTTTTTTGTTAAAAAATGTTAAAAGAACCTGTGATCTCACCTTGTGCCCTGGTTTTGATTAATAATGCCGGCTCTGAAGGAAAACTTGTTATTAAAATATGAGCTTTTTAAAGCATGCTTTGATGTATAGACAAAAAAACAATGTTTAATTGGTTGCCAAAATGCCCATTAATTTTTCAGAAGTTGGGGCTGAGGGAAGTTTGAAAACAACTGAGTTAGTCATCTATTACAGAGTAATGTAAGAAATGCAATAACATTCTTATGCAATTTCACCTTTATGCCTCAGAGTCATTCAGTTCAGTCAATTTTTAAAATTTGGATGTCTTCTGATTTAATTAAAAAACATTTTGGGTACTTATTAGTATTTGCAAATTTATTATCTCTCTAATTCAAAATCTTCTAAAAAAGAAATATTTCAAAAGTATAAATTATTGTACTGAAAGCAGAAAAAGCAAAGAAGGAAACCTATAAAGTCACCCAAGGCTTCATTGTGTATCCATTTTTGGGGGAACAATTTAATGGAATTCAGTGGGAAATATAAAATTGCTCTGCAGAAGTCCATGATTTTTCAAAATACAATCACTATTTTCAAGATTATTTCATTAAGATTTTAAGAAATATATTTTTAAATAAAATTGCTGAATATTTTTAGTTAGCATTTCAAAGTAAAAATTCTAAGATTACTTTCTGCTTTCTTTGCAATGTTGAGCATTGCTGTTCTTTTATTATAATCTTATTTGAACACTTTGATTTATATAAAACATATTTTTGCTGGTAAAATCACTATAGATACTATGTGAAACCTTTAAAAGAAGAGGCACAGATCATATAATCTGCATCCACATATGGAACATCACAGTATTTTTCCGTAATTGTCTCCAAAGATTTCCTTGAAATGACAAGAAATGAAAGTGATTTCACCATCAGCAGCTAAAATTTAATCACATGTGCTGTGTAAATAGTGAATTCAATAACCATTTCAACTGCTAAACATTATAGTTGCATCATTATTTAGATAATTTAGGGCCTAAAAACTATTTTAATATCTTATAGTGCAGTGCTATTTATGTCTACTCAGATGTAATTCCCATTAAATTTAATGGAGCTTACTCCAAAGCAAATGGGTATAAGATGGGTAGACTTATACAATTAATGTCACATCTTTGAGATTGCAGACATACCCACATATACATTTTCACTATCTTAACAATAAGACTATTCAAACAAATATTCATCTATTAACTACCTATGCAAAAGTAGTAAAACTATTTCACTCATTAGATTTATACAGAAAGCAGATTCATAATTACTGTTTGTATGAATCTGACATCATATAACAGTAATAAACAATTAAACATGCAAAACAGAACTCCACTGGCTGTTTTCCTAAATAATCTTCACTTGTAAAATTTGACCAAGGCCAGTTTGATCCCCTTGCTGCAAACCTGGTTAAAATGTAGGCCAACAAAAGCTGCTTTTCTTGGTAATTTTCTTTGGTATGCATTAGCAGAAAAAGATGTACAGAAATCATAAAACGATTACAGACTGCAACAAGGAACTAACTTTTACTAAATCCACCCACAGGTTTCAATTCTCTCAATTCTGACTGTCAGCGGCTCTTCAAGGCCTCACTCAGAGACCATGCCAAGGCTTGCAACCTGAGTTGCTTTTAATTGTGGAGACACTATGAAGTATTTTCTGTATATAAAGC